TGCTACGGAGAAAGGGAGAGGCGGCAGGTGAGGGTGTACACGGGTGTGTGTGTGTGTGTGTGTGTGTACACGGACGTGCACTGGACAGGAACGGGAGGCTGGGACTTTCCATGACAAAGAGTTAATTCCTGTGAGTCTAGTTGGAATTTTTAGTATGAATGTGAGATTTTTCTCCTTGCTTATGTCATTAAGAATAAAAAACAACTGTGATCTATCGTATTCCGTGTCCCGCCTTTTATTTCTGTGGGCAGAATTCTCTCACCAGCAGGAACACGGCCCCGGGAAGGGACCCAGAGGACGAGGAAATCCACTCTGTCCCCCACTGGAGATTCAGGGTTACCGCTTTCCTTTCTAAAGCAATAAAAAAAACCTTTCAAAAACCTGCTGGCTGAGCTGCGGGGAGGAGCGGGCTCTTCCTCCCCACCCGAGAAGGAGAAGCCCTGCGGACCTGCTGTGTGCGGGGCTGTGTGCGGGGCTGCGCGCCAGGAGCCACGGCCTGGCGCCGTCTCTTCCTCCGCGGGGCTGCGCTGGGTGTGGGTTCGGGCGCCGCTGCTTCAGCCTGCGGGACTGAGCTAGAAGGAAAGTACCTAAGTTAGGTGCAGCCCGGGCCTCCGGCACCTTCCATGCAGCCCCCGTGCCTGCCTCCTCACTCACCTCGGCACCTCTACCCTTTCCAGAACGGCAACAAAGAAGCCACCAGTGAGCGTGGTCTCGGGGGAGGCCCGGAGGCAGTGTTCAGCCCCGGGGAAAGTGCCGAGGCCTCGGTGGGGCCAGGAGGGTAGGACGGGAGCTAGCCTGTGGAGAAGATGGGCAGAGTTCTGGGTAAAAAGAGAGCAGCCCCCCGCCTGAGTGGCTCAGTTGGTTAAGCGACTGCCTTCGGCTCAGGTCATGATCCTGGAGTCCCGGGATCGAGTCCCACATCGGGCTCCCTGCTCAGCGGGGAGTCTGCTTCTCCCTCTGACCCTCCTCCCTCTCATATGCTCTCTCTCTCTCTCTCTCATTCTCACTCTCTCAAATAAATAAATAAAAATCTTTAATAAAAAAAAAAAAGAGAGCAGCCCCCTTCCCCAGGACCCCGGCGGGACCCCCTCCCCCCGCCCGCCCCGCTACCTGAAGGTCCCTGGGTTCTGCTGCAGGGCGTCGCGCACCACATCTTCATTCTCCTCCTGGCAGAGGGAGCACGTGGAGTAGACCAGGCGCTGGAGGGAGGGGAAGGTGAGCGCGTGGCGCAGTGCTCGCTGCTGGAACCCGGCCAGGGCCTGCAGCCGTGCCTTGCTCGGGGTGCCTGCCCCGGGCTCCTCCAACTGTCTGGCTGGCATTCCTAGGGACAAAGCGTGTCAGCTGCAGACGGCCTCACTTCGAACGGAGATGCTCTGCTTCTCACGAGGCCAACGCAGACGCCGGAGCTGCAGGTCCCTCAGACACTCTGTCCCCATCTCACCTGAGCCGCTACAAGAAGGATCCAGTAAGATGTACTGGACCCGACGGTAGCGCTGGTCAGAGGGTGAGACCGCCAGGAAGTCTTCCTCCGCCAGCTCGCAGCACGAGACCCCAGCCCGGGCCAGCAGGGTAGCCATGGACGCCAGGCGCCCGGCATCCAGGTCAAAGGCAAAGATCTTCCTGGGGGACAGGGGAGAGCTGGGGCGGATCACCGGGCACCTAAGGGCCCACAGATCTGACAGGCAGGAACACATCCATTCGGGGCACAGGAAAGAAGGGACAGTGTCCAGTTGGAGGGACCTGACCCTGGGGCTTCAGATCTCCCACCGGCCGCCCGCTGGGCAGCTGAGCGTAGGGCTCCAGCACCAACAGGTCCCGATGGAATTCCTCTGGGCCTCCGGGCCCAGCTGGAATACAGTGCCCGACCTCCAAGGACGGAACTGGCACCGTGTCCCCCCGCCCGGGCTGACCGTGGCACTCACCCCTGGTTCTGGAGGAGAGCGGCCAAGTGACTGGTCTTGTTGCCGGGGGCGGCACAGGCGTCGATGACGTGGGCG